CACACACACACTTGGCTACCCGGCAGAACCAAGCTCAGGACCATTAATGACAACAAGGAGAAGGTGTGAAGTAGGCCCCAGGGACCCAGCCATGCCTGCCCACCGCCTTAATAAACCATCAAGGGATGGGCCTGGATAGTGTGGTATGTGGAGTGTGTGACGTTGTCAGAGGGCTAGGTGGGAAGGGAAGTAATGACTGGAGAGGTTAGCTGCACCAAATGTCAGGCTGAAAAATTCAGACTCGAACCTTCCACAATGGGGAGCCATGAAGGTCCCCTTGAGAGCAGGTGAGTTTAGGCAACCAGCCCCTTGGGAGGATAGTCCTAGGTGTCGTGGGGAGAGAAAGGGAAGTGGAGCTGGGTCCCTGCGTCTGAAGAAGCCAGATATGCCCGGTCCCCTAGGAGGAGTGGACTTCGGTGGACCCTGGACTAGGCACCATGGGGAAATATAGAGCTGGCCAACAAGGATGCCATCCTCCTTGGGGGGATGACAGGGATTTAGACACAAGGTAGGAGCAGTGTCTCCGATGTTCCAGTGTGGGTGCTGGACTAAGTGCCACTGACTCGGAAAGGGAAGGATTCACTCAGGGGCAGAGGGCCAAGGAAGGGAGGCTTGGCCTGAGGGTCGCAGGACAAGGCCCAAAAGACCCTTCTGCGCTGAGAGACATGAGCGGGGACCAGTTTATCTACACCTGGGTTGTCAGGCTGAGGAATGAAACTTGCATCTTTAGCAATGGCGAGCCATGGATGTCCCCTCAAGAGTACGCCAATGCAGGGAACAGACAACTAGCTCCCTCAGGACTGGGAGAGAAGCGGGTAGGGGAAGCTCAGACCAGTACTGTCCAGTGCGTCACTCATTCATTCATTCATTCATTCACTCATCACATATGTATTGAGTGCCAATTTTGCACCAGACACTAAGCCAGGCCCTCAGAGACAGCAACAAATCACACAAATGTCCCTGCCCTTATGGAGCTCACAATAGACAAAATAAATGTATTTGTATAAATAAATGTTTGTATTATTAGATACTTTATAGATTCACAGCGTGAAGAATCCTAAAGAAAAATTAAGCAGGGATGGGGGTAAGGAATGTCACAGTTTTAAATAGACTGGTCAGAGAGGACTTCATTGAGAAGGTGACATTTGAGTGAGGACTTAAGGAGGGGAGGAAGCCACGTGGAGTGAAGAGTGTTCCAGCAAGAGGGAACAGAAGGTACAAAGATCCCGAGCCTGAATAGGTCAATGTGGCTGAAGTAGAGAAGGAAAAGGGAGGGCTTTCCAGGGGCCCAAATTGTGCAGGGCCTCAGAGGCTGCTGTGCTGAGGGCTCTGGCTTTAGATCCAGTGAGATGGGAGCCATGGGGCATTACAGGCAGAGGAGGAACATGTCCCAGTGTTGTCTGAGAAGATGACTCTAGTTTCAGAGTGGAGACTAGACCACAGAGGGGACAAGGTGGAAGTGGGAAGACAACCTGGGGGTGATAATGGTAAATCCAGAGGAAGAGATGGTGGCAGCAGTGAAGGCGGTGACAGGTAGTCAGGTTCCTGATGTGTTTTCAAGATAGAGCCCAACAGGTTGCAGAAGGTGACACAAAGAAAGGAATTGAGGATGGCTTTAGGTTTGGGCCTGACTGAGGATGTAGCTGCGAGTAACTGAGAATGTGGGTGGGCTTGGGTGGTCAGGAGCTCCCCTTTGCCCGTGGTGGCTCATCTGGCGGAGATCCCACAAGCTGCAGCGAGTCCCCTGAGGCCTGGGGAGGAGGCCACCCTCACCCAGAGCACAGCCCAGTTCCTGCTCAGTGTCCTGCCAGCGGGGCTGGGTTGGGGTGCTTGGCCCGGGCTCTACTCACAGCCGCATGCCCCGTGTGCCCACAGTGTGCCCCAGCCTGGACATCCGCTCCGAGGTGGCGGAGCTGCGTCGACTGGAGAACTGCAGTGTGGTGGAGGGCCATCTGCAGATTCTGCTCATGTTCACAGCCACCGGGGAGGACTTCCGTGGCCTCAGCTTCCCACGCCTCACCCAGGTCACCGACTACCTGCTGCTCTTCCGCGTCTATGGCCTTGAGAGCCTGCGTGACCTCTTCCCCAACCTGGCGGTCATCCGCGGTGCCCGCCTCTTCCTGGGCTACGCACTGGTCATCTACGAGATGCCGCACCTGCGGGATGTGGGGCTGCCAGCACTGGGGGCTGTGCTGCGTGGGGCCGTGCGTGTGGAGAAAAACCAGGAGCTTTGCCACCTCTCCACCATTGACTGGGGCCTGCTGCAGCCAGCGCCTGGTGCCAACCACATTGTGGGCAACAAGCTGGGTGAGGAGTGTGCCGACGTGTGCCCCGGTGTGCTGGGTGCCGCCGGGGAGCCCTGCGCCAGGACCACCTTCAGCGGGCACACCGACTACAGGTGCTGGACCTCCAGCCACTGCCAGAGAGGTGGGCATGGGTACGGGAGATGACCGTGGGGTCAGATGAGGCTGGATGGTCACAGGATGGTGTGGATCAGCACTTTGCTGCCACTGTTTTTTGTTTGTTTGGTTTTTGCTTTTTGTTTTTGAGTTGGAGTCTCATTCTGTTGCCCAGATTGGAGTGCAGTGGCACGCTCCCGGCCACCACAGCCTCAACCTGCTGGGCTCCGGCATTCCTTCTGCCTCAGCCTTCCAAGTAGCTGGAACTACAGGCGCGCACTACCATGCCCGGCTAATTTTTTGATTTATTGTAGAGATGAGGTCTCGCCAAGTTGCCCAGGTGGGTCTCGAACCCGCGGGCTCAGGCAATCCACTCATCTCAGCCTCCCAAAGGCGTGGGATTACAGGCTGAGCCACCAAGCCGGCTGCTGTCACTGTTTTTTAATCCTCACCCATCCTAGGAGGCAAATACTATTGTTATTCCCATTTTGCAGATAAGGAAACTGAGGCTCAGAAAAGTTAAATAACTGATGCAGCATAAGGCAGTCAAGGAGTAGGCACAAAACAGCATCAGGTAGACCTGCAGTAGGTGAAGGACATGTTTGAGGTGGGCGTGGGGAGACAAAGACCAACATGGATAGAAGGCAGCAAGAAGCGGGGTGGGGTTGCGGCTAAGCACAAAGCCTGGGTTCAAGTCTTGGCTCTCCTGCTTGCTGGCCATGGCTGCTCAGCCTGTCGGTGCCTCAGTTTCTTCATCTGTGAAATGAACATAGGGTTGTCACAAGGAATGAGTGATTCTACAAAGCACCAGGCAGAGCCTGGGCCACAGCAGCTCTGTGATCCTAATGAGCGTGGCCACGGCACAGTGCCCAGGGCAGTGGCAGGACTGTCCTGGGGAGGTGGGGCGCTGGGCAGGAGAAGAAAGGAGGAGGTGATGGATGAAGAACAGGAATGAGTGAGCGCAAAGGTGTGCGGTGGGGTCTTCTCTGGGAAGATGCAGGGAGGGAATTGGAGGCTGTGGAGAAAAGAGGGAGGGGGATGGCTGGAGGAGGGGGAAGTGAAAGGCATGGGGAAGGAAGACCTTTCAGAAGCTGGGGCAGATCCGGGCCCCCAACCCTGGGGCTTTTCCATTCAGCTCCTGGGGTCATCTTCTCTGACCCAGTGCCTCAGCATCAGGGCGAGAGAGTAACCGGATCCCTGCTGTAGCAGCGGGCCCTGCTCCCTGATGCCTCCCTGTTGGCTGTAAACAGTGGCTGCACGTCCTCTCGTGTGGAGTGTCAACACGTCCTGGCTGACCCCCCCTCCTCAAATTGCTCCCACAGACAGCTGGCTGCCACCATGAGGTTCCCAGGCCACTGGGTCTCCAGCCACAAACCCTGAGGTGGGATGTGGCATAGGCGGAGCATGGCAGGGTCCCCTCCCTGCACACCTTGCCCTGGGCCTAGCTGCTCAGGAGAGGCCAACTGGTTCGCTCTGGCACCGTGCCCAGCCATGATCTGGGCACCAGGCCTAGACAGGACAGCAGGCTGAAGAGCAGCAGCCCTGATGGACAAGGTCACTGCTCTGTCCTGAGTTCTGACACCCCCAGTTAGGCACTGTGGGAGGCAGGGAGTCACAGACAGGGGCCATAGTCCTTGTCCTCAAGAGCCCCGTTGGAGGGAAATAGAGTCAGCAGCCAGTGTTGTCTGAGTTGGAGGGATGACAGAGTGTCATCCCAGGAGAAATGGGGTGGGGCCAGGACTGAACAGCCAGGACTGAGGGGCCACAGGCAAGAGCTAACACCGCACTCTGCCCACAGTGTGTCCCTGCCCCCACGGTCTGGCCTGCACAGTGAGAGGCGAGTGCTGCCATGCCGAATGCCTGGGGGGCTGCAGCCGACCAGAAGACCCACGTGCCTGTGTCGCCTGCCGCCATCTCTACTTCCAGGGAGGCTGCCTCCGGGCCTGCCCTCCAGGCACCTATCAGCACGAGTCCTGGCGCTGTGTCACAGCCGAGCGTTGTGCCAGCCTGCGCTCTGTGCCCGGCCGCGCCTCCACCTTCGGCATCCACCAGGGCAGATGCCTGGCCCAGTGCCCTCCCGGCTTCACCCGTAATGGCAGCAGGTGAGCAGAGGGT